CACCCCAGGCAGCAACACCCGGCACACACAGGCCTTTCTATGCCTCCCTCCCCCCAGAGAGCAACACCCCTGGCATGGACAGGCCTATCTCATCCCCCTCCCCGAGGGCAGGAATCAGGTCTAGCCAGCTCCAGCACAGAACAGGAGCCCTCTCCCACCCCCTTGGCCCCCGGGTGCCCCCCTGTCCCCGGTAACACCCCTGTGCTCTGCTGTGTTTGCAGACGAGATCTCCTACGAAGCCGGGGTCAAGGTGCAGATCCATAGCCAGGAGGAGCCACCCTTCATCGACCAGCTGGGCTTCGGCGTGGCGCCCGGCTTCCAGACCTTCGTGTCCTGCCAGCAGCAGAGGGTATCCGTCCTTCCATCGGTCTGTCCATTCCCGGGCCCGCGGGCCAGCAGGGGTCCTGCCCATCACCCCAGTGCTCGTGGGGCAGGCAGCCGGCGAGGGGGGGAGCCCTGGTGATGACAGAAAGGGGGGTCAGCTCCTCAGGGATCCCTGGGGAGGGGCTGCTGGTATGAGGCTGCCCCTTCTCTGCAAGGGAGGTCAGGAGCCGTTTCTTCCCCCAGGCCCTGGCCGTGTGGAGCCCCCTCTCCAGGCAGGCTCCCCATGCACGTGTGATCGGAATCTTTGGCCACCAGTGTCGGGGGGGGCACTCTGTGCCTGCGTGTCCTGGTGCCACCCACTGGGGGCAGGTAGAGGCAAAGTGACCCTGACTGCTCTCCCCGCTTGGTACCTGTGGCAGTGCGGTGGGACTCGCATTCCACCAGGTCCACTCTAGCACCTTGTCCTCAGGCACTGGCAAATATGAAATACTGATAGTTAGTTACGATTGGTTGGGTTTGGTTGATTGGGAATGGCTGGGATGGGATGATGGGTTGGTTAGCATTAGTTGGGGTTGGTAGTTGGGGTTTGGTTGGTTGGGATGGTGGGTTAGGGTTGATTGGTTGGGGTTCAGATGGTGTGTGGGGTTAGCACCATGGGTATCCGTCCTTCCATCTGTCTGTCCATAGTTGCAGTTGGTTGGTTTTGGTAGGTTAAGGTTAGTTGGTTGAGGTGGGTTGAAATGGTGGGGTGGGTTAGTAGCTGGGGTTGGGTTAGGGTTAGTTGGTTGGGGATGGTGGCTGGATTGCATTTATAGCTGGAGTGGGTCGGTTGGGGATGGTGGCTGGGTTGGGTTAGTAGCTGGGGTTGGGTTAGGGTTAGTTGGTTGGGGATGGTGGCTGGATTGCATTTATAGCTGGTGTGGGTTGGTTGGGGATGGTGGTTGGGTTGGGTTAGTAGCTGGGGTTGGGTTAGGGTTAGTTGGTTGGGGATGGTGGCTGGATTGCATTTATAGCTGGTGTGGGTCGGTTGGGGATGGTGGCTGGGTTGGGTTAGTAGCTGGTGTTGGTTGGTGTAATGAAGCGGCCTTTGCTGGGACCCAACTGAGAGTATCAATTCAGGACAAATTGCTCAGAGCTGGGCAATCACAGCCCAACGCTGGGGTTCCTTTGCACACCAAGGCAAACCAAACCAGCCAAACAGAGAAGACTTTGGTCTCACCCCACTGGCTCACCACAAGTCACACAAGCAATTCCCTTAGACACTCCAGTTTCCCAGTATCACCACCAGTGCCACTCGTTATGGGGACGAATGGTTATGAAAACCAATACCCCAGTAAAAGAAAAAAGGTTCTCCCGATCCCAAAGGACCCAGGTCAATATATCAGTTAGATCTTACCCACAAATCATGCTGTTGCCAATCCTTTAGGATCTAAAATCTAAAGGTTTATTCATAAAAGGAAAATGATAGAGATGAGAGCTAGAATTGGTTAAATGGAATCAATGACATACACTCATGGCAAAGTTCTTGGTTCAGGCTTGTAGCAGCGATAGAATAAACTGCAGGTTCAAATCAAGTCTCTGGAATACATCCCCAGCTGGGATGGGTCATTCAGTCCTTTGTTCAGAGCTTCAGTTTGTAGCAAGATTCCTCCAGAGGTCAAAAGCAGGACTGAAGACAAGATGGAGGGGTTTCCAGGGCCTTTTATATCCTCTGCCATGTGGAAAGACCCCTTTGTTCTTACTGTGGAAAATCACAGCAGCGAGATGGAGTTTGGAGTCACATGGGCAAGTCACATGTCCAGGCATGACTCAGTTTGCAGGCGGCAGCCATTGCTCACATGCTCACTTCTGCAGAAAAGGACCTAGGGGTCACAGTGGACGAGAAGCTGGATATGAGTCAACAGTGTGCCCTTGTTGCCAAGAAGGCTAACGGCATTTTGGGCTGTATAAGTAGGGGCATTGCCAGCAGATCGAGGGACGTGATCGTTCCCCT